TATAATAAAATTAATACAACACAATATGATTTTTAATATTATTATTAATACAATATAATATAATATAATTCTTTGATATGCAACGAAATTTCAATAATTAATTTATGTATGACATGAGAGGAAAGGAAATTAAAAATCACAAAGCTAAAGAACAGAGAGAAATATCGTATTAACCTGATATCAAACAACTACTAACAAGAGAGGAACTCTTGAAATACTTTATCCTGAAACTCCAAATTTCATTCGTATACAAAGGATTAATTAATTCCTACGTTTAAAAGTCAATTCTTTCTATTCTTTTCACGTTCAGTAGGAAAGCAAGTGCATGGTCAGACAGCACATGGAGCATTTAACATCATGACTGCATTTAATCGTGTCGCTTTAAAAACTACGCGAAACATTCTTCGATTCCACGTCAATTTTTTTAAATTCATAGCTTTCCAAGAAATTCTCTTTTCATCTACAGTCACAGTTAATGCCATCCATAAATCTTTCACAAGTGGCGGATATTTCCATAACAAACCACTCTTTCGTGTTAAGTCTGTATGAATGGGCAGGAAGAAAAGAGTAATATGTTCGTTTCAGTGAAAAGATATATCGTGGCGTATGAATTACACACATATACACACATTTGTGTAACTGGAGCATATACGTTTCACTGATGTGGTAATCGATTCATTTTTTACTAGTAAATAATAAAATGAAAAGTATACATCATCAAAAACAATCAATATTTGAAATCAAATAAAAATTCTACTATCAAATATTCATAATGAACTCGAACATGAAAATATCACAAAATAGATGAGTTTGGTCGAAAATGAGTGATCTTCCTATGTTAACCCTTTGCACTCGAGAGGTGACCAGTTTTCCTTCAAAAGACTAGACCCCGGATGCTAAGGACTGCGCAATGTTTCCATCATTGGCACGACGCTTCATTCTATGGGAGAGACTTTGCGGCGACGCCTGCCGTAGCGAAAGGGTTAAATACCACTCGTCAGGATTTTGGATAGGTAAATGCTCATACGGTGCTCTTCACAGGAATGCGAGTACATTTTCTATGTCCTCGATTTCTACGAAATGTGGTGATGGAGTACGGAGGAAGTTGCTCTATAAACTCCTACTATAGTATACAACCCCCTATCTTGTTGATTTATCGCCTGTTGCACCTGCCATGAACAGCCATCCGACTATATCCTGCGTTTTGTTGGTTAGTAGTCGTCACTACTGGAGTTATCTCCAAAATTGTTTCTACAAATTATACTCTGACCATCCTTAAGCATTTGGTGTGGTCACCCTGAATTTACCGATGAAAAATAATTTATTAATGAACTATGATCAATCATTTACGTTATTACGAAAGGTATATCCAGTGATCATTGATTGACTACTGGATGAAACAGTTGCCGCGATACTTAATGGTCCATTTCGTTCCAAAATTGCTTCAAATGGTTACCTGTGACGATTCCGAATGCTTCTTTCCAGTTCCAACCACCATTTTTCAGAGGATGCGACGAAACCCATGACTCCACAGAATTTTCTACCTCGATCATTTTGAGGGCACTTAGAAAAATTTCCACGTTCGAGTAGGTAATTCAATCACGTAGGAATGAAACCCTAGGAGACATCTTAGCAACGATTGAACCAACAATAGAAAATAACGCAAAAGATCCAATAAAATGTCTAACAAACAGCAGCTGCGCGAGAGAGATGCCAAGAAGGTATCTAGTATTCAAGTGGACCGTGCAAGGATATAGAAAAAGGAACATGAAATACGCAAAAGGAGCCATGCCGAAAGAATTCCAATAATAATAATAAAACCAATAAGAATATGGGAGAACACCAAAATAGAAATTCAAGCAACAAAATGCGACCATAAAGATACTGAAAGAAAAGAATAAGCAATAAGCAATAAAAAAGGAATAAATTTCCAAGTTATATAGCTAGATGGGATCCAGCTCCAGCACGTGCAGATTTAAACTAAAATGTCGTCGACATGAAAACGAGATATATAGACATTTGTACACGATCGTCCATTCCCTTTACTACCATCCTCTTTGCCTTGATGCTTACACACCTAACAGTTCGAGTGGCATTTTGCATTACAAAATCGTGTCCCAATGAAACAACGATAGTGCAACGAGGAACTATCCAAATAATACAACCGGGGTACTTTATGTATGCTCGGACACGTAAATTGATTAAATGATGAAATAACACGATAAGGATAACAGAACTTGCTGATAGCAAATAATGCAAAATTACGGCTCTTGTTCCTGTTCATGCAAATGAGAAATTGTCAGAAACATTACATAACGTTATCAGCACACTTCACACCGGACTATTGTAGAGATTGGGATAGGTGGTGGTAAATAGAACTATTTATTAATCAATAATAATAAATTAACAATATGTGAGTGACGATTAAACACACGAATCTATATCGACTACGCTCAACTCAACGACACAATGACAACTCAGCCTGTTACAACTAATGGCTCACAACTAAAACACGACTAAAACTGTTTATTAATAACTCCTCTTAATAACTCTCTCTCTCTCTCTCTCTCTACAGAACTGTTCTAAAGACTGTTTCCTAAAAATTGTGGCTTCACGCCCTTGCACCCTTATTTTAACCATACGCTGTATCCTCTTTCATACTCAGGCCCTCTTTCTCAATCACGCTTTTCTCACGCGCTCTTCACAGCCGTGCCCTCAGTGGGACACGTAGCCTAAACATTGTCAGACGCATTCCTAGGCACTCTTCACTTACAACCGATTCTTCCATAGATACCCCATTCATACGATCCTTCCGCACGCACTCCAGATAACACCCTGAACGCTCCAGCCAAACCCAAGACCGCTGTTTATTATTCTGCGATACTACACTATTATACAATTCCCGTTGTATTCCTATTCTATCATAACGTTGGAACATACGTATACCTTACATATATCGTTATGGCTTTCTGGTAACTCAGGAGGAATCGATACCGCATTAAATTCGATTGCGATGCTATGGCCAATAGCTTCGAGCTCAACAGCACCACCTCCATTCGAAAACCGGGGGGATGGAAAAATGACGGGTTTAGTTAGACAGCTGAAAATCGAATAGCAGATGTATTCGTTCCATCACTTACGTCTGATATCATTTCATGATATGAAATTTCGAAAACCTTGTATATCGGAGGCCTCACGAGAGCATGGTGCAACTGACAGCTAGTCTACGCGTGGAAGAGCGAAATCAAATTAAACAGATCAGTTTCACAGATTATCAGAGCAACGCAGAATAGAATGTTTAAATTTATTCGACGCAATTGTGAAATAACTTTCCTCGGAATATTCCGTCCTTCTTTTCCTTTGTTTAATATTCCTCGCGAGGAAGCCACAGTCTTCGCGTCGAAGATGATTCAAGAGATGCAGAAACAAGGTGCTTCGTGGAAAACCGAGAAAGAGGAAGCGATCATGGGGTTGGAGAAAATATCGGTTCTATTCGTTTGATTAAGTTACGTAGGCTATATGTACCTCGAGGACCATATTTCACGGCAGTTTCATTTTTCTACCGGACGTCAGCTCCGATCGGGTGGAATTAAAGTTACGAAAGCGATCTGTTTCAACGAATGGCTCGTAAGCCATTTTATAGCCCCCTCTTAAATTCAAACTTTGAATTTGGCGAAAGAGCAAACGAGTTAGTGAACCTTTGACACTGCGTCCCTGAGAACTTAAACTATGTATCGAATACCACGTTTCGTTCCCAAGTTCTCAAGACAACTTGGAAGCTTGCTGGTACTGCCTTTGTGCACCTCGAAGATAAGATCGCAGTGTTTGATCACTGCTCCATCGGGCTCTGATAATTTTTATCAGCTAAATTGACTCGCGTTTAATTTTCACGAAAGTCAAACGGAAAATTAAATCCCTGCAGAACTGTGATTTTCGATAGCAAATATTAGGAGTTTTAATTATCGTATATCGAAGATACTGTTTGCTCTTGGATATTTAATTAAAATTTTGAATAATATATCGCATATGTTATATTCCCGTTTATTTATTTCGATTTCATTTGCTGATCTGCAAGATAAAAGAAACCAGCGTATCATGATTTATTATCATGGTCATTAAGCCCCTGATTAGTCGTTTCAATTACACAATTTAAATGACGGGATCTTTTATTGTAAGACACCTAATAATCGTTCGAATTACTTCATCGACGCAAATGAACACACGGACAAACAACAACATGGAATAACATAGAAGTGCCAAGCAAGATTGAGGTCGATCGATAGAGGAACACTTAACAGGAATTAAGAACTCGATGAATGTATTCAAATGAAAAGTTTTGAACACGGTATGCCGTGCTGTGAGGAAAAACTAGATGAAATTTCGTGCAGACCCTATTGTTTTTCGTTTTCATGCATTGTCGACAACGTGAAAATGAAAGTTTAATCTAGCCCCTTGGTCTCTATTCGACCAATTTCCCTTCAGAGGGTCTCCATTGCGTCCCGTTATTTTCTTTGCCTTGCGAAATGAACACGAGTCGACGGCCTGGAACGTCATGAAATTCTCTACAAACAAAATTTAATGAATAAAAGAACGATGCAAGTTAACGATATAGGAATTAAATTGAGTTGTGTAACTCAAACAGTTTGTACGTATTAATCATCTCACTTTAATTATTATTAATTAACATTAGAACTGACCATCCGTGATGAATGTTTAATTATTGAAAATACACACAGATGCACCTAGAGATAATAATAATTAAATTATAATTACACTTTTACCTGGATAAAGCAGTGAAAGGAAATAATTTATATTTTTCCATAAACAGATGCTGTTCTTGTATTTATTTATGTATTTCAATTACGAAATCAGTCACTTTTAATTGACTGGTATTTCCAGTGTTTAACTTTTGAAATGTTCTTGGAAATTGAAGAAAAGAGAAGGAACGCGGCTGTGAATAAAGGGAAAAATAAAAGTGCACTGTTCTTTTGTTATCACAGGTTTCCACAGTACAGTACTTGGTGCACAGCGTCTCGTTGCAGAACGGCTCTGTGGAGCAGCTTTCTGGTACCCTTTGTTGTATGTGCACCTAGCTATTTCGTATTCAGGGTAAGCAACTTGGTCACTTAATGGCCAAATATCAACTCGACGATCTAGGGAGCGTAATCTCAGATCGGCTTTCAATCGCGAATAAAATTTCAACGACTATTCAGAACCTTTAATTGTCAGATACGAGAGCAACCGGTGAACGAAAATGGCACCCTGGAAATCTTATACATCGTCGACGCGGAACGCTCGCAGCAAAAGGAGTTCTTCCATCAGCTGAATCTCTGGGTGCTGGGAGTGGTCGTGAAACTTTTACCATGTGCCATTCTCACCGTCATTAGCTGCTGGCTGATCAAAGCTCTTTACAGGTAATTTATCAGCTGCGACCTCGTATGAAACGAGATCAAAATTTACCGTTAAACAGTAACAAACTCAAGCTTTAGGTTGCTTGCTATACTTCCCTTTACCCTTTTCCGCGCCGAAGAAATTCGTTACATCGACGTCATCGCGCACAAAAGCCGTTTAATTGATAATACGCGATGCATATTCAACGAGAATGATTCAATTCGTTGCTCGATCAATCAATTTCGGAATAATTTACTTAGCTAGCAAAACAGGCTAAGTCCTAACAAGCCTGTCCTCGTAGAGTATTATGCAAAAGTTTGCGAAATTGATTATCGAGCCGAAACAATTTGTACGTTCCAGAGCAAAAGGGAGGAAGGAGGCCTTAAAAAGCTACAATCAATGCAATAATACCATGAATGTGGGCAACGGTCTGGTCCAAAGAAGACCAAGCAGATCCGAGAAGAGAGCCAACAGGACGACCAAGATGCTCGTTGCCGTGTTACTCTTGTTCTTGGTCACAGAGATACCTCAGGGTATCCTTTTCCTTCTATCGGGTGTTCTAGGCGACAGTTTCTTCCTCAACTGCTACAACAATTTGGGCGAGGTGATGGATATCCTTGCCCTTTTGAACGGCGCTATCAATTTCATCCTCTATTGCTCCATGTCCAGGCAGTTCCGCACCACGTTCGGTCAGCTGTTCAAACCAAAGATCATGAAGAAATGGCAACCCGCCACGCAGCAGACAGACGTACAGAGCACTTACGTATGATGCAGGCTGAATGTTCTACAGACCACGCGTCTTTAGAAGTTGCACATCTCCTGGGAAGTAGCCCGAAACTTCCTCTGATTTGGGTACCTCCTGCCAAAGGTGGAGTAGATCTGATTGATGAGGAAACGATGCGTCATAGGGTTGACGAGGTGAACTGTTCCTTGGGTAAAGTAGTAGGACAGCCGGTGTCTAAATTCCCCTCGAATATCATGGTCCAACTAATGATCCTACGAGTGGTGTTCATAACATAGTGCCATTAAATTTCCATTGTAAGAGAATCTTCAAGGAAGATTGCGAAAGCTTCGCAGTTTTTAACTCCGTCTTGTCAGTTGGTGATTAATGGTACTAGAGACTGATACTTGTTGAAGCTGCTACGTAACTTTTTCAGATAGATAGAGGTGATTAAAGAAGATTAGAGATATGTGAAGTATTAAATCATAATTGATATTAATGTTCTTACGTTTTAAACGGAACCGCGTTCCTTGAGTACAATCTGATTGTCTGAATTAGTACTTCGGTATATAGACCACACGATTTTTCATTAAAATTGATAAACGGTGTGCATGTAACGTCGATGTCGTTATACGATATATGAAAGCCCAATTGCAGAAAATAAAAAACGTAACGTAGAAGAGTTTTATAGACGAATAATATATAAAAGAGAAACAGCATTTCTAGTGCCATCGTGTATAAACAGCGAAAGTTCGGAGCCTTGGCTCGTAAATATTTAAAGATAATTCAATTCGCTTCTAAGTTTCGAGCTATTGCTGCGAATCGCAGATCTGTTTGGACGGAAGTAAATTCGATCTCGCGCTAAACTTCCGGTAACGAGACGTGGAAAAGTCTAATATGTACTCGGGTTTAATTAAAACCCATAGCTTTAACTTAAAATAATTTCGCTCGTACATTCCATTTCATATATATTTTCTTAATTAATCAGCTCTCATTTTTTACGAAATATGAAATCACCCAACGATATCAATATTGTGTAAACACACGTGTGGAAATTAATATTAATATTTATATAGTAATTATAAGAAATTAAAAACGAAACGATTTTGAACAAGCGTCTCAAAATAAATCTGTGATTTATCGATATTTATTTGTCATACGTTTCCATCCATTTATTGTCGTTCCGATAATTTAAATTTGTTAATATGTCAATTACACTATTGCAACACGTATTTTCCTATAATTTCAGTTCTCACAGGAGTTGTACAAGCTTATTTGCAAAACAAATTGTTGCGATGTTCTACGAACCATTTGGTTTAATAAATTATGCATAACACCGGCCAGGAAACGAAACGGCGACGTATTAATGTTGGATACTTGACAACGAACGATCATTACGAGTCACACATACACCGACGTCCAAATATTTGCGCGTCAAACTATTAAAGTTGTTATTAAAGTTGTACTAATTAACATAATTAATGTAATGAATATATTAAGCTTAACGCTACAACTATACATAGCAAAGTTAGCGATAATAACTTGTTGTTGTATGATTTTGTATAAAAAGCAAAATAACGGATGGATTTTTGGCTATTGAGCCCAGCTAAAAATCTGTCCCTTTCAGTGTACACTGTAACGGCAAATTATTTATAAATTATTTCATGATTACAAATAAACGTTTCTGTACTGAGTATCGTTTTTCGTTATCTCCCTTCTTCTATTTTATACAAAATAAATCTAATATGTGAGAACAATCAATAAAAGAAAAATCAATAGCGCGTGTTTACTTTCCCTCGATTTCTCTCTCGAATAAATGTTTCTGTTTTATTTGCCCATTAAATATCCTCACCCTTCAAGATTCCAATATTTCCATTTTTATTCGTTGTATGCAGAATTCGTTCATTGAAATATTTTTGCCTTCGGAAATAATTGAGAAAGATAATTGAAGTATGCGAAGTTGAAAAATATCTCGATATTTTGTTAAACACAAAACATCGAGAGATCTATAGATTATTGTCCCGTTAATATTTTCCAGATATATAGAAGCGATCAGAAACTATTCGATTCAGTGGATACTGTATCATACGCGATCACCTATCATTAACATCGGGAACAAAGAAACTAATACTAATCGGAGATCGAAGAGATTAAAATTCATCGAAACGTTTGCACTATGGGATAGGTCCAGTTAATTGCGAGGAAATAATTGAAACATTAAATCGATTTTCTATCCTAGTTAGTCCCATATACAGACGTATAGACGTAGTAGCTGGCCTAACCAAAACCGTAGAGCAAACAGCGTTATATACATACAGACGGATATACAATTATGTAAATGATCGATCTGTTCTCGACTTTCCCATATTGCATCATGAATATTCAGAATATTCTGAACTATATAAAGGCAGAGATATTCGCAAGTTCAAGTATAGATAATTTTGTTTTCGTCGAATATTTGTGATGTAAATTTCTATTTCATCCACCGAAATTGCTGTTCCCTCTTGTACGATACCGATTTACCATCAGTTCCCACATCTTCCTTATTCTTCCACGGGAAATTTCTCTTCCAACATACCAGAAGTATAATATTCTTCGAAATTGCTCCTCTTCAAATACGTATCACCCGATTCCCCGACATTTTTATTCCGTCGATATATCGATCGAATGGAAGCTGGAGGTTCGGCGAATTTGAAACTTCGCTGGTCCAACATCAGCTGATTGCGGTCTTGTAGTAAATTCGGTACAAGCTTTACTCTTCTCCGTCATTTTGGATATTTCGAAGGCGACCTGAATAAAAATTCATTTTCAAACGTCTTCATTAAAAAAGATTCGTGAAAGAATGTTTGCTTTCTAACATTCGTATCCCCTGCACGTTTTGCTCGACTATTCTCTTTTATCTTCCTCTTCGTGTTCGTGAAAGATATTGGAAGTGGAATTCATTCGTTCCCCAAACCATTCACCTTTCCTAAAATTAAAAAGGAATATAAATATTTTTCGAATCGATCAAATGGAATTCGCAATTAGAAAAATACGTACCACAACAGAGGCAAAAGGTAATCTGCATTCCTAGACTCGTCTCGAAGCGACTTGACTCCTGTGATAAAGAAAACGAGGATAAAATCGCCAGTTTGACTCGAATGTATGGTTACCACGGAATAGTGGAACGCTTTTGCTATCTGTAGTATCCAACCACGGTTCAGCTCCCGTTTTATTCACGGTTCCCAGGAGCTTTTTCTCTTTCTACTTTCCAATCCTCTTTATTCGTTCGCACCGACACCACTTGATCAATCTGAAATGACATTCAAGCTCGGCACATGCAAATCACGTTAACTGTATTCCACGTTATACATTTCTCTATCCATCCAATCAAACAAGTTTTATATTATATATATACACATATATTTTTTGACACTTTTCCCTAGTCAATCAGGTTAATTTTGAGCGATATAAAGATTGTTGACTATTGGTCAGTGTGCAGATTCAAAACAAATTCTTCCAGTTGATAACTTGATTAGAGCAATGAGAATTGAGAGTGAAGAAAGAAAACGCAGGAAATTACAAATTTTCCTTTACCACGAAATTTTTGGTTTTTCAGAAAACCAGTTATACTTGCAATTGTACCTAGATCTGTGCTCTTCGCGAAGGTATCAGCGAATACACAGTGCACAATGCACTGTTTGTTAGATTGGAAGGAGAATTTATTGGTTGTCCATTTACTCGTATCTCTCAGATGTGTATTCGTCGTCTTTTCTAATCGAGTTCCTCCTCATTGATAGTGTGTGAAGTAGCTCAAGAACGAAACACTCATCTTCCATCCATTTACTATTCCATTCTACTTACTTCCTTCTCGATGGATATAAATTAATTACTCGCATTGGAACCAGTTGCATGTACCACCTTTTCCGTTTGCGTGAATCAAGTTTGAGCTTTTCGAACTTGTTCCATCCAGGTTCCTAATCGATTAAGATAAAATTGACAAGTGGAAAGAGTCAATTTGATTGTAAGAAAGAATCTAAAAATGGTAAAGTACAACGCTTGAACGTATAAATTAATAAGTAGAACGCTTCAGCTTAAAGACTCTTCAATGCATTACACGATTGTACAGTGCTTCATTAATTCCCTTGAATTATTTAGAGCTCTCATTATTTTCCTATTATCAGATGTCTGTCTGTACCTCGTTCATAATGCGAAGCCCAAGAATATTCATTATGAAACTATAGCACTGCGATGACAAAAGGGAAACAGAGAGGAGAACAGAGAAGAAAAGTGGAAGCCTTAAACGCTAGAACAGTGGAGGCTGAATCCTACATGGCTAAAGCATAGTTAAGGAATACTGACAACTTTAAATAGTTTCCTTGGTATAAATCCCTTTGATGATGATAATTGGACCGCAATGAGACATTAGTTATTATAGAATTAAAATATAGAATACTCATTTCAGGACGATTTATAGTATCCTTTTCAATGCCACGAACATGAAAGACATTTAATTACCAAAAGACATTCATGTTTAACCGAGTTTAAAATGATCATAAGTGAATAGTATTAAACCTACTTCCGTCAACGCAAATTGCAATTTCCCACAAGATTTTCAAATATGGAACGCCTCTCTTACGATTTTTCATCTAGTTAGGTAGACACATAAACGTAATAGAAATTTATCATGAAATACGCTAGAATGCTCATAAAATTTCTAGTAACAGCACAATCAAATATTCAAGTTGACTTCCCTCGTTTCCTCCTACTTGGTAAGATAATATTTAAACGAACGAAACACTTCAAGCGTTATGGTATTTGTCTTAAAATTCGACTTTCGATAGACGAAAAAGCTCCAAGATTCTAAAACTACCTGTATTTTGTCTATTTAATCGCTTCACGGTTTAGCGTTGCATAAACGTACAGGGTAATACAAAATATTCGAAAGCTCAACTTCAATGAGCGTAAACTCATGTATTAAGTAACCATTAATCCTAAATAACTCGAAATAGTGGTTGTTCAAACTCTTAATTACGATATACGTTCATGTCCTAAGCAAACTCAATTTCATACATGATAAATCATTTAAAGAAAATTAAAACAACTAATCTGGCATAATAAACAGGTAATTTGTCATTTGAGTATAATTGAATTATTTCTCTAATAAAAAAAAAACATCAAATGGAAAAGTTCATACCGCAAAAATGTGAAATAATTTTAAACTGCAAGTCAACAAAGATGTATCATTTTATCAATGTATTTCCGGAACCTTCCAGGCTTTACTCTTTATTAATCCTTGACACTTTCGAAACAGTATCCATTGGGAATATAAGTATGAGTTAATGTACCGTAGTCATTTAGAAAAACTTAAATGAGAAAACTGGTTCTCCTTGGCACGTGGAATATTAGACGAGCAAGGATAAGCAATAAAGTATTCAAACACGATAATACATACAAGGATCCGTAATAAATAAGGAAAATCTAGAAAATGAAGAATCTTGATTGATGCTGCACTTAATTCTATACATTTACATCTGATTTGCTAATTTATTATACCTTCAATTTCCATTTCTGTTTGCTTATTTATATTTTAAATCTGCTTGTTTTCTTCTTCATTTGTTTCTACTATCGTATGTATATATCCAGCTTAGTTATTTAAAATTTTGTTAAATTATCTATGGTTTATGTACCAACATATTTCATAGGAATTGTTTAAAATATGAAACGCGAATGAGAAGTTTCATGTATACAGTAATAAAGGCAGTTACGAAACATTAACAAGCATTGAAGAAATTTTGAAGACAAAATTTTGAATTCTAAGAAGCAGATGCCTCGTTTCAAACTTCGTCCGAGTTAAGTACCCTCGGCTCCTCCTCCTGCGTGTTGCTCGTTCTTCCCTGTTGAAGTTTCGTTGCCAGTTTCTTTGCGGTCTGCGTTATCTGCAGTAACAAATAAAGGGGGGAGGAAGAGGAATTAAGGCAAAACAGCTTCCGTTCTCAAGAGTCCTCACCTGCGCGTCCACCTCGATCACAGCCGTAATGTCATTCAGTGCCGTTAAAAGTTCAGTCGCGATACTTCTTTTGCCCAGTACCTCTAATACTATTGCGTAATTAATTAATACCAGTGGCTCTTGTGGCGAGAGAGCATGAGCCTTTTCCAACACTTTCTCTGCACCCTCCAGATCATCTAGACGCTTCAGAGCAACTGTAACAAAGGATTCGACTTTTTCGTTACTACCGTTTATTACCTTACTCAATGGTGACGATAGGAGAAATGGAACAGATGCAGTTAGAATTTCTTATGCAACAATGACACAGCAGTTTCGTTTTTATCATTCAAATAATGCTGTGGTACCACTAACATTTTTTGTAAATTTAATGCGAATGTACTTCAGTATTGAAAGCGTTTCCTGTTAAAAGCTATGTCTGTTCTGTCATAACAAATTTAGAGAAAATCGAAGAAATATGTGAACGACGAAAACGGAAAGGTCCGCAATACTATACTTGTGAGTACTTTTATTTATTAAGTTAAAATAAATTTGGAATCAAAGCAATCAATTTCCATTTTAATTTTATATTTGTGATGTGTACTCGTCGTGCAAATTTATATTGATTTGTTCGTGATAATGTATTCATTGAAGAAAGAGAATCTAGCAATCTTCTTTAAGCAATGTTTATTCAGTTATTCGTAACTCTTCTGCATTTATCGAAATTATATAAATCCCAACTCTTCTTAAATATAATTTAAAAAAATATAAGAAATCTTACGTCCAAGCAAGAGATATGGCATTGAATTTTTTGGGTCAGCACTAACCGCAGCGCACAAATAAATTGCTGCTGAGGCTGGTTGGCCAGTGGTCAGAAAAACCATGCCCAAATTATAAGCGGGCAGAAAGGCCATAGAATTGAGGTAGTGAGCTCTCTTCAAACAGCTAATTGCCTGGAAGTAATTAGAGCGTTAAACTCATTTGTCCGATTATTACGGAAGCACGATTAATGAATAGCAAGTGCACAAGTGAATCACACGAAGCAGGCATTGTACGAAATCAAATGTTAATTATATCATAAAGCGACGCATACATACTGAAAATAATAATAAAAATCGATCGATAGAAATTAGAAATCAAATTACAAGAAATATCTGTCGAATTTGCTTGATCGTTCAAAACGTAACCGAGAATTCGATTCCTTAAGTAAATAATAAACTTTGAATTAAAACCTTAAACGAAGAAAACTTATGTCTTAACATCCCTATTTCTTTCTCAACCTGTAGGAGAATATTGCTCATTCTTGCGCTTCTTATCGACGACAACGAAGGTATATAACTAAATCTGAGTTTTAAAGTTAATCCACTTAACTTCGAAATCTCGGCCGACTAACTAAATCTAGTTGAATAACAGCAGAGTAGATTAAACAACTTTCGTTCCGTGCACACTACTGTTTGGAATTTAAGTTCGAATTCGGAACTTCAAAAATATATCATAAATGAAACACTTGCTTATACATACGTTTGTAAAGTATTTCGTGTAACTTTATTTTTCTCTAACATCATAAATAAACTTCCTCCTCGAAAGAAATTAAAAAATTTCTATTATTTAATTATTGATAAAAAATTCAATTGCATTTCAATCATCTGAATCGTCAAAATAGATTGTAACTTTCTTTCTTAATGGTGATCTAGGTTTCCTATTAGAAAACAACCTAGCACATAATGTGAATTCACTGATTTTCTCCTGCTTCGACTGTAGCAGTCCATTGCACACAATCCCTTAATTGAGTTCCTCTGGGTCGCAAGTGTGTCCCGGCCGTCATTCTGAGACTACGTTGTCTACGAGCACCACCCCCTTTAATGAACTTAAATTAATTATCGTCATTAAATTCGGCAGCATGCACCGATTCTCCTTGTTGTGAATAAAACCCATGCCGGTTCACGATTTGCCATATTCTCAGAATAAAATGTTGTGAATTGTGAATTATGTTCTAGTGGAGTGCAAGCAATATGACATGTCACGAAACTATCTCTTTTTCTAAGTGTTAATTTACATTATTAATTTTCTGCTGTATATTACTGCTGAAAGTAATCACGATTGACTTCTTTTAACTTCCTTATAAATTTTGATAGCTTCGCAATAATAATAACATATTCAAAAATAATCGAAAAATATCTAAATAACTTACAGCCACGAATTTTTGCTTGCCGTAAAAGCACATTCCGACGTTGTTCCATAAAGCATACGATTCTGGAATCGATTGTGATGCTAGTTTATACTTCGATAATGCCACATCATACTCCTGGTGGTTCTAAAGAATCAACAGTTTAATCTGTCAAATAAAATTTGAAAGCATCATATGCCTTTAATTAAATTCTTTAAGTATATTATTAAAATATTACGCATGTTTTACGTTAGAAAGACTGCTGTCATCTCTAACCCACGCATTGCTCTATGAAAATTTATCTTATTTTATCAGCTGTATTTATATCCATATGAAATCGAATACATTACAAACAAGCAATACGAAAAAGGAAGACACTAACTTGAATTATGTAAGCTATCGGTAAAATTGCCTTGGTGCAATGTGGAGAATGAGCAACTGCATTTCCAAATTGTTGAAATGCTCGTTGAACATCGTTAATTTTAAGATACAAAAGACCCAATGCGGATGCAGCTTTGATGCTTTCCGGATTTCCGCTGAAAAAGAAGACGAATCAGTGATAAATACAATGTGAAATAACAGTATTTCCAGGCTTTTCATAATTATTCGTAAATATGATTTCCCTTAAGCATTTTCACGTTTTAATAATGCAATAGCTCAATTATTGCATTCGAGTCAACCAAACATTACAAAAGCATTTTTATGACAATTAAAAATGATGCATCTTTTCAATTGTTTAGTTAAAACAAGTAAAACTCGAACTATATGCTTAAGATTATCTCTTTTATTATCCTTTTATTCCTTAAGCATTAGAAGTGCTTATGTCAATACCGCTAAAAAACAAAAGAAATGTAATTTTAATCAACGTCGTGGTAAATTATCTACTGAAGTCATTCCTGTTTGTTCTGCATCTTTTATAATCTGAGATCTGTAAATGGAATTTGCAAAGAAAGGATGAACATAATACACCGGAATGTATCGTAAACAAGAACATTCGTGCCGACAATCTTGTAATGCGAGAATTAAATCTGCGCGTGTAAGATATTCGTGAAGTCAGACGAGCATTCATCATAAAATAACGAGGAATGATTTGTATACCTAAGAGCAGCCGTGTAAGCGTTTTGGGCCTCTGTAACATGATCTTCAAGGAGACAAACTTTTGCAAAAGCAATATACGGTAATTCATTTTTCGTCAACTCAATCGACTTTTTTAAATACTTTTTCGCTTCATACAGTTTCCCCAACTTCATGTAACATTCCCCTAGAAAAAAATGACCAATCTTTGTAAACTTCTATATAAAGACTAAGTTATTTATTATTAATTATATTTGTGAATAACAATTATAATTCTCTCAAAAATTCTACATTATTCTTATTGTATTATCAATAATCAATCGTCGTAATAATCTATATCTAAAACATTTGATGTGAAACAGTTTAATACATGCCTAAGTTAAAATAAATTTCCCAGTCTGGTATACTTGATAATTTCTCAGCTTCCAAGTACGTATCGATTGCATGTTTATGACTTCCCATTATCAAACTATTGAATAACATATTAAATATTAAGATAAAATTGTTGAATTTACTCCAATAAATATTAATAAAAATTTAAACTAAACTTTATTTATAAACTCACAAAAATTAAAAATATTAGTTAAAACATAAATTGCGCGTGTTTTTAAAATCATTTTATTTCAATTGAAACAACGGACATTTCTTACGCTACAATGTAATTAGATCGAGTACTGCTCTACTAGTATCTAAATCTGATTTCGTTCTCGAACAGCATATCCGAAATCAAATTTCCGTTACTTACAACGATTTAGCTATTTGCTTCACATTATTAATGTTGGTTGAATTGACGTTATAAGCGGCCTGAAAACAGTTCAACGAATCTTGAATTTTTCCTTCTCTTCTCAGTATTAAACCCTACAAAAAGTAAAAAAAAATAAGAATTTCAATATTACTATTACTGTAGACTATAATTATTAGAAATGATTAACAAATGTGTAAACATCGCTTACTTTTAAATAATTCGCGTACTCATTATGTCCATTCGACCTTGTTAATTCCTGTTCGATTAATACTTTACAAGTTTTGTACTCGTGTCGAGTATAGTGGCGATGCAACAGCCAATTGTTGCTTTCTATAGCTGATATTTCAGGTACTAATATAAAGACAATAAAAATATCACACTATATCATGAAATCATAACAAAATATACAATTACGGAAATAACAACATAATTATTATTTATATTGTAATTTATGAAATGATTTTTAATATTTTTTGGAAAATATTTGCTACTTGAAATATGTAAAAAGACACGATATCAATCACAGAAAATCTTGTAATATCAATAATTTTGTTGGCATTTCGCAATCTTTTTAAGAAAATATATTAGTCAATGATATTTAATCATAAATGTAAATATATTTATCATATCGCGTAATAATTATATATGTATGTATGTTTTATCTCTATCTCAAAAGAAACACACCTTTTTTTCCTTTGTCATTTTTCAATCGTTGCGAGATTATCGTTTGTTGTTGAATACGACCATTACTGAGAATATTGTTAGCCATAGGTAAAACGTAGAAGTTATCCACGAGTATGTTTCAAACTATTCTTTTATACCTACACGATACCCTAGATTCGCTTGCGTGTTGTTGCTGTTGTTTGTCATGACAACCCTTGTTTTAAGTCCCCTTTACAAAGAATCAATCAAAGAAGAATAAACTATTATGTATGAAAAGTTTCTTAATCTTTATATTAAACATTGAATAAATTTACCTTCTTATTAAAATGTCTATTTTTAATACAAAATGGCAAGTTCAAACGTTAATTATTAAATTGTTTTCATTCCCGCGCATTTTTCTTTTTTTTTCACATACAAACTAACATAGGTAGTTGAAATCGAAAATTAAAATTAAAATAGGTACTAATTTTTACTACCTTTATTACACAGTTCTCTCATTTATAAATAAACATATGCGAGAAACATATGCAACCACAAAAGTATTTTTATATTATAATTTCATAGGGCAGAATGTAATTATTAATTAACAATTTCTTATTAAGAAATGATAAAAGGAAATTTAAAAATAATAAAAACCAATATCCGAATTAAAAGTAAACGAATAATAAATCAAAAGAAATGCCCTAAGTTATATAGCGCCATTGAGATGATAACAGAACTACGGAACGTCATCAGCACATCAACATGGTTACGACTAGTTGTTCTGACGCGATAACGGAACAAAAACGTTAAAACTATCTGAAATTTTAATTATAAAAAATACAAATACAAAATATTATCAAAACATTAATCATTAAAATTAAATATTGACGTGTGCAAAGTGTCATTTGAGTGTTTAAATAAGGAGCATAGAGTACTCATGATTTCATGATATCAAAATGTAGAAGAATCGCTTGAATATAAATTAGTCATCGATGCTACAAAATTAAAGGTTATCTTTAATTGTGAGTCGATTTTGCTTTGAATTTCTTTACCAACATAATAAAAAATTGTCATTTACTCTTATTACAGCTTTTATAGGTTATCTTATGTACGATCACAGTTTTACATATTTGCCGCATGTTCAATGTCCACCTGTTATCTATTACAGATTTAACAAATATGTCTCTAAATTTATTTTTTCATTATTTTTATATCGATCATAAGACATAAACTTGTAGTTGAAATAAGACAATTAAATTAGTGAAACCTTAAACATTGTTTTTTTGTGTCCTCTGTTAAACCTTTGTTTCCTGTTTGCATTCTTTCCTTCACCTTTCTAACACACTTGTTTGATTTACACAATGATTATTTTTCAAATTATAATTTATATATATATTTTATTACGGAATATTCGTGAATTAAATATTATGTATTTATTAGTAGTATTTGTGCTTTTTGAAGAATGTTAACTAAAAATGTTAATATTAATAGCTTCCTACTGTTACAATATTTTTTAAATGAACTACAAATTGTAGATTACAAAAAAGGCTTGACATTTAATTATTATTAATTAACTTTCATTTTAAATACATAATTATAATTTTTACATAAATATATTACTTATGGTGTATAATTTTCATTAACCATGTCATAATTTCACAGGGTTTAATATCATCATGATGTCATAATTAAAAGAAAGAAAGGCACTGGTTGTATCATGAGCTGCTCTGTAGAGCTAAGACAGCGTAGACAACAGGGGATGGCGGAGGATCCTCATAAACTCGCAGCAATGATGAATAAATCTCAGAGACTTGTATTGGGATTATTAGTTTTATTATTAGTTGATATCATTTGGGTTTCTAGTTCTGAACTTACTAAAGTATGGGTTATTAAAATATTACTTTCCAATTAATTATAGAATATATTTTTTATTTAATAATATGATTTTTATTTTTCAGTATATTTATAGAGAAGCAGCATTTGAAAAGCCATTTTTTAGTACATATGTAAAAACATCAATGTTTACATTCTATTTACTTGGTTTATGCTTTTGGCCTCCATGGAGGGATCAATGCAATAAACCAGCAACATATATGGTATATTTAAATACAAATAATGTTTACAAGAAAATTAAATTTTCAGTTACTTCTTTATTTTATCATTTCAGTTTGTAGATCCTAATGTGGAAGATGATAATTTTTACTCTGAAGCTAATACAAGTTTGGTAAATAGAAAATAATAGAAATTTTCTATTATTTTTTTAATATTTTCTTTCTTCTACGTATTATCTTAATTTGTTATTACTAACAATATAAATTTGTACAATTTTAGAGTGACCCAACATTTGTCCCAATTAAAACACCAGACCACTGTGATCGTTCTTCAGGCACAGAAAGTGATGATTCATCAATACGCTCAGTAAGATTTAGTAAATTAGCAGAAGTTCGTCATATGTCAGAAAGTGATGCCACAGAAGCATTATTGGCACGACTTAGTTATCAGGCAAGCTTGAGAGCTGGGGAACATGCAAGACGACAAGCCAATAAGTTTTCTGTCCAAAAAGTTGCCAAGATTGCACTTATGTTTTGCTTACTTGTAAGTATTAACTTTTTAAATTACAATTGTATATGCATCAATCTTAACATAAATTATATAACGTTTTAATTAACATTTACAGTGGTTCATGGCAAATTATACTTATCAAATATCATTAGCAAAAACTGAAGCAGGAGTTGTGACTGTATTAACATCAACTTCTAGTTTATTCACTCTATTTCTTGCTGCCTTTTTTCCCAGTAATGGTGGAGATAAATTTACATTGTCTAAGCTAGTTGCTGTCTCTGTCAGCATTCTTGGTCTAGTGTGTATAATTATAACAAAGACTTTAATGTGGAAAAATATTATCTTTCTGAACTTTTGTTTCTTTCATAGGTTCTGGTTGGTTTTTCAGACTTAACTATAAAAAGTAGTAGGATACCAACAGGCATAATATTGGCTCTAGTCAGTGCATTTTTTTATGCAGCTTATATTGTATTTCTAAAGAGGAAAGTAGATCACGAGGATAAAATGGATATTCCAATGTTCTTTGGCTTTGTTGGACTTTTTAATTTAATACTTCTATGGCCTGTGTTTTTTATTCTACATTATGGTCATTGGGAAGAATTCGAATGGCCAGATACTCATCAGTGGACATTTTTAATTATCAATGGTTTGATTGGTACAGTTTTAAGTGAAGTACTTTGGTTATGGTATGTGTGTAAAAATTGTTAAGCTTAATTTATATCTAATTTAAAACACCTCATATTCATTTTATACTTATTTGTAGGGGTTGTTTTTTAACGTCATCCCTTATTGCAACTTTAGCAGTTAGTTTACTTATGCCAATGTCAATGATTGCTGATGTGTTATTAAAAAAGGTTGAATATCCATACATTTTTTATCTAGGAACTGTTCCAATGCTATTAGCATTTTTGACTGTGTCCCTTTTATCCTATTATGATAATTGGGATCCAGTCATGGATTTAATAAAAAGAATTTATATTTGGATTTGTAGGAAAAATAGATCAATAAGGTATTCCAGTTTAAAAAGAAATTCTCTTATATAAGTTTCAATTTCAATAAAGTTAAGAAACATAATATTTTCAATTTTAGAATACAAGATCTTGAAGCAGAGCAAACAGAATCGCTCATAGGAATAAATAGCGGCGAACATGAAGCTTAACCTGACAATAACGAAAACAATATGTAATAAATGCCTTTTGTGTATGTATATTTCTACACTTAACAAATGCTTCGTCAACATGCGTAAAATATTATTAGTGTATTGTGTATATGTCTTTTCAATATGAACATCTCCTTTACTGAAAGGGTTCTGTATATAATTCAAATTGAATGATACATACGTATTTGATTACAAAGCATTTTCACGAAGCATTACATAAGCATTCTAAAATAGTAATTATAAGTTTCCTTTTTACAAAATGTGTCTTATTATATTACATTGTCATAAAAGATATGGTTTCATTCATATGCATAATTTTGTAATATTCTGCCAGACAATAATTGCACATTGTTTAATATGTATCTTATTTGAAAACAATCCTCCTGAGTACGTATATTCTCTGATTTTTTAAAGTGTAATAGAAAATTATTTTTTTATATTTTATAAAAATGTTTTTTATATTAATTGGTTTGTTGTATAGCTTAATTTTTTTTTTCTTAAAGAAATTTTATATTTTTTATAGTGCAGTTATACTTAGCTTTTGTTTCATTGTGAAAAATTATAATACATAAATTGAAGATGAATTATGATGTTTTATGCATAATAACTATTATTTAATTATATGTGCAATTTATAATGACCTATGAGGATGCAGATGCTGTGTACACTTTTTAGTTTCTTGATCTTCCTAAAGATCATTTACATTTGTATCTCAAAAACCTGAGAAACAAAAAAGTACTTATTTCATAAAAAATATCTTGTAATATAATATTTTAAAGTTAGTAGTAATTATGTTACAATAATTGTTATTGATGTTGATTTATTTAAAGTATTACTTGAGTAATGTTTTAAGAATGTTTCTCTATTTCCATTATTTGAAAACTACTTAGAAAAGGGTCAGAATTATAAAAGAGCTTAATTTACATAGTATTATATATTTTCAAAATAACTCATTGTTTTACTATGTAAAAACATTTGTTGAATATTATGTACTTACTTAAAATGAAGTACGCCCTAAATTTTAAGACAGTGCCAGTGAGATATTTGTGCAATTTTAATGATGTAAGGCAGTTACAATGGAATTATATTTAGATTTTGGACCAATTTCAAATTCGATAATATTAAGAAATGTGGTGACCAGAGAAATATTAAACATTCATTGATGCATTTTATGGCATACAACTTTTATATTTGATAAAATAATAATTCTAACATCTTTCTTAAATCTAGTCAAAATAATTGTACTGATACATTCCTTTGTCAAAGTATATCTTACATATAACAATTTATTTATTCATAAAAATTACACACCTATATTTATATTTTACTATATTGATTATTTGATTTGCGTGTAAAACGATATCAGTAATTTCTATGTTTTAATAGATGATGCGCACAATTTTCTTTATTATGTTTCAGTAATGAAAAACATGTAAAATATATGATACGTATATGCAAATTTTAAATTTGCATATATACAGTATGCATACAGATACATAATAAAAAGCTACATTTATTATATCTTGAATTGTAATATTTTGTAAGCAAAATATTAAGAAATCCCTACATAAGTGTATAATTAGCTTGATATTGTGATATAATTATTATGGTGCGCAAATATACTTTAATTTAATGTAATATAAATCAAGCTCTAAGATAATGATGTAGATCATAGTTAATTGTTCCTGCATCTAGTTGTATATTTATTGTACATACAATATTTTAATATTAAGATTAAAATGATATACATATTATATAAATAGATCTGTCATTAATAAAACAAAATGACTGATTATCATAACATCTTCGATCTTTTTGTACAAAAGGCAATTAACTCTTATTGAAAATAAAAATATTTGTTCCAATATAGAAATTTTTCTTTGTACTTGTATATAGACAAAACATCTGACTTTAGAAAAACAAAAATAATTCTACTTGAAGTACAGTGCTATTACTTAGTAAAACATGAAATTAACATCAAATCTGTACAGTTTTTCTATTTCTTGTAACATTAATAATTTATGTAATTAGTCCAGGAGTTACTTTTACAAATGTTTTGAAAAAGTGGAAAGTATTGAAATGTACGACTGCTTCAACATGGCATATCAGGATGATGCAAATGCTCTGCAATTACAAATAAAAAGTAAGCATAGTTCAAAATATTTTCTCCAAGTAAAAATATAATATTTAATTGATGTGTACTATTTTAGTAAATAGTGAAAATTTGTTACCGGTTCCACAAAAGTACAATGCTGGATCATTGCGGTAAGTATTTAAATTAAATGTTTATTTTTTATTTAGGAGACACTTATATTTTAAACTATTTTAGTATACCAGCTGATCCTTCTTGGCCCAAAATACCCCAGCGTAAATTAATTGATGATGGAGATACTATTGAACCCCCATGTATAGTCACATTAACTGGAACTCCTAGGAGAAGTCGTACTGTAGTTCAAACACCACTAAATCAGTAAATATTAAATTTAAATGTTTTGAAGTTTTATGCAATTTATATTAATAAACATGTATATATTCAAAAACACAGATCTCCTAAGTCTACAGCAACTAAAGATAGTGCATATTCTTCTTTCCATCATCAAAAAACTGATCTAAGCATGTACACATTAAAGAGATTTCCTGGTTACATTGATCCACGTTTTAAAAAGTACATTATTTTTATATTATAAAAACATTAAGAAATAAATAAAAACTAATATAAAAAATCCTTATATATTTTTAAATAGAGTGACAAATACTAAAAAAAATCAAATTACACCAAATAAGGCATTACAGGAAGAAGTGAAACAGTCTAATATCACTACCATTGCAGAACATCTAAATAAAGAAGAAATAGAAAATTTAATATCTGAAAAAAAATTTAATGCGTATATATTACCTTGAATTAAAAGTATATTACATAATTACTGATTTTTAAATCACTTATGCATAAAATGATTTTTATAATTACTAGAGAACAAACAAAAATACAAGAAGAAAAAGAAAATGGATTAAGACAAAATTATGAGGAAACTAATAAGTTTAATGTTGAAGAATTACTTTTAGAACAAAATTACCCCACAAATAATTCAACGTTGAAAAAACTAGATAATCTTTTGAAAACTAGTAATACAAATGAATATGTAGGAAAAAATAAATCTGTAAAGAACATATGCTCTTCTGAACGCATATTAAAATCAACAGTTAATGATGCAAACACTCAGGTGGACATCGCTTCTTTACCAGTGCAAGTATATGTTCTAATATTTCATAATCACATTTCTGTTAGAAACATAAATATCAGAGTACATTTCTTTATTATTTTAATGTATTTAGGAAAATAATGGACAGTTGTTTTTTGTGTTAGACAAAAAACTGCAATCACATCCTTTAAGTGCAATACATGTTGATACAATTACTGTGCCTCAAGAATATGCAAATCAATGTTATAATGTTCAACTTCCAATTTTAACTTATCAAAACATACCAATGCAAATATCTCCTACAGGAACAAATAATGCAATACAGCAATGTTTGAATCATTCAGATTGTAAAAACCAAACCGAAACTTCACTTTTAATGAAAACAGAATCTATACACCATATTCACTTAAATCAAGCACAAAATGAGAACAAATCTCTCATTAACAGTAATAACTTTCAAACATTATTTACAAAAATTTAATTTCTGTTTACTAAATTATAGTTTTTCAGATATCAAAGAAAAAAATATCCATGATAGAAAAAACACATCAGAAGTAAAAAGTAATATACATGAAGAAAATAAGAAAAATTGTTTCCAGACAAATTCCTCAGAAAATTCAGTTAATTTTAAAATAATATCAAATTCCAATATTCAGCAAAAACAGGAATCTAGTGACTCAGAGTATTATATTCCTAACATAAATAAAAAAAACATACACAATAATGTTTTTGAATGCTTAAAAATGAAGAAAATGATATGTGGTAAAGAAATAAGTGGTGAAGAAACAACAGATTCTGAATTTATTACACAAACAAATATAAAGAGAAAAGAATTTACTGATACAAATAAATTTACAAAAAAAAGTAATGTGATTAGTAGTGATCCTATATATAATGATATCAAAACTTCAACTCAAAATCATGATCAAACAAATTATTTATCAAAAGAAAATGAATATCTTCAATCAGTATCACAAAGTAATGTAATTGTTACTGATCAAGAACAATCTTCATGTCAAAACTACAAAACAGATATTTTTGAAACAAAAGGAAGAAATAAATCTGAGCAACAATTACTGTTCACAAAAAATGAATGTACTAGAAAACTTTGTCATAATTCAGAGCCATCTATTACATTTAAACACAAAAAGGCATCTGCTAAATTTTCTAGAAAAACTAGGTCATACTTCCAAAAAAATTCTCATTCAGCATTAGTAGATTCTGATTACACCTTAATATGGCCTCATTGCCAATATAATAAATACAAACATTATCAAACAAACTTTCATAAATTTGGCAATCATAAATCAAGAAAATTCACTCAACATTTTAATCCTATTCCAGTACATGAACGAAATACAAATGTACAAATTGATAATGTTTCGAATTTCATTGAACATAATTATATGCAAAACAATGAACATGTAGATTCAAGGCAAAAAACTACTAAAAGTTTATCAAAGACATGTTTACAAAAGGAACATTGCAAATGTGAAATTTCTCCAAGATCAAATACAGATGATGTATTTGAAAGTTCTAAAGCTATTCCTCCAAAAACCCAAGAATTATTAAATAAAAATTATTGGGAGTACTACAACAAATTAAAACATAAAATACAGAACACAAGTAGCATTGAACAATGTCCATATTATTTATCAATGGATGCAACTGAAAAAGGAAGAAAAGTAAATGAAGTATATAATAAAGAATTAAAAACTCACTTAAAAGTAAATCCTGAACTTCAGACATTACAACAATGTACAGCTCTTTCTACCATGATTAACAAAGCATTGTAAGTTGTGTAGAAAATGTCAGTTTATCTAGTTTAAGAGACTAATAATTTATTTTTTATACATATATAGAGACCCAAGTCTTGAATCAAATACTATACAAACAGAACAATTATACATGAATGACAACATGAAAACATCATCAAATCATATGGTTGATGGACAAAATATTAATACAAAGAAGATTCCACACTTAATTAATGATAAACCTATAATTAGTAAAGTAAGATGTAATGAAAATAAAACAAATGATAAACAATTTTTAGAACTCAAATCTATCAGTAAGTATTCACTTTATTTAATAATAATTCAACTGTATTGATATCTATTATATAATTTATTATATCTAGTATCCTTTTTTAATTTTTAGTTTTTTTTGGTGGTATGATGTATATTTTCATAATATTTTTGCCAATGTTGTATGACTATTTCTATTACGAAGAATATGATGACTATGAAAATTTAAGTTACTTGGAACTGGTAGTGGAATATATTTTATCCTCATTTAAAGAAGCATTTGGTGGTGTTTTCAATTGTATAAAACAAATTTTTTTCTATCCAGTAAGATTATGAATAAAATTATAATATTCACATGTTTTATGTAAGTGTAAGCAACATTAAATTTTATATAATTTTATACAATTTCTAGCATGCATGTAAGAAATGCACCAATATTTCATAAAATTAACGATGATCGTCGCACGATTAACATTATCATGTGCAAGTTTAAAAATATTTTACTATGGTTTGTCCTTTGTCTATTAATTAGTATTTGTTTTTGTACTAAACATATATTTTTGTAATTAATCCTGTGTGTAAATGTTTCCCTATTTGTATACTTGTATTTACAATTAAAATTTTATTTGAAGATTATTTTCCTTGATAAACTTTTAATTTCAGCAATTATTGTTTATACTATTAATATATATTTCTCAATTTTTAAATTATTCATCATATTTATACTGAAACAAATTTCAAATTTTCAAACTGAAACGAATAGTGAATTGTCGGTCATTTTCGACTATGTTCGTTAAACATCGTCGACGACAGTACTGTCATCACTAGACGAAGTTGGGAAACACTCTTTACCCGTAAACTACAAATGCACTGTGCGCACGTTGATTTCGGTCATTTTGCCTGGAGATCTCCGGTATAGTGTATAGGAAAGACTCACGATTTTTAACCCTGGTGCCAAAAAAAACGTGTATATTATCTTGTTGTACAACAAATAGAATATTAATTAAATAATCTTTTGCGGAGGAAAAGGATATAAATAATCGTCGATTAGAAAAGAAAGAATGGCAGATTATGTGATCGGTGACATAAAACCGGCAGATGTACCGCTGCCGGATGATGGACTTTCAGCAGCACAATTATTTACAACCGGTGATGGTCTCACCTATAATGATTTTATTATTTTACCGGGTTATATTGATTTTATCGCGGACGATGTTGATTTATTATCGCCGTTGACAAAGAAGATTATGATTAAAACACCTTTAGTATCATCCCCCATGGACACAGTTACAGAATCTGACATGGCTATTGCCATGGCCTTGTGCGGAGGAATCGGCATAATACATCACAATTGTACACCTGAGTATCAAGCTAATGAAGTACAAAAGGTATATATTCTTTTAATTTAAACATTTCTGTTCGTCTAACATAATCGTGTAATTTCTATCGTGCTTGTGACGATTTCGTAAAATACTCATTCATTTGCTATTCATATAAAACAAGTATAGCATTCATCTCACCTCGCGCGTCTGCGATTTTTTTTTTATTTAAGCAATAACATCGTTATTATGCATCGATAACATATATAATAATAAACATTTACTTTTTGTTAGAAAATATTGATATTCAAGAAGCTTTATAGAAAATTTCTTCTTCTTTATTGGATTAGTTATATTAATCTCATTTATACTTATAGTACGTTTGAACGATATAGTACATTCAAAATCAATCAAGGCTAAAAGTACAAACGTTTCAACTATCGAAACAGTAACATGAGACATTTAAGAGGAAATAAGACGTTCGAGAGTCAATCAGTGCCGTACGATGTCAATTTGGGATGAGTTCTTCCATTTCTGGGTATTACTGACAACAATGGCTTACGAAAGGTTAATGTTTATTTTAAATGTTCGAAATATTAAACAGGTTTTAGTATAATAAATTGGTAGCAAGTTAACGAACTAAATTGAAATTCAAAATTAATTGAAATTTTTTGTTTTACTGTTTGATGTTATACACATACAACCAAAAACTACAAACAGTTCTAAGTGTCGGCGATTTTAATAGTGTCACTTTAGCATCAGTCGAAACTGCCGCGTAATGTAGTAATTTACGAGCGTGCTATACCTTTCAAACTTACTATATATTTTCTTATACTTATTATATTTAAAAAAAAAGATAGTAATAATGTAAAAACATTCTCCAAACCCTCATTTAAAAAAAATTCTTGTGTTCCTAGGTCAAAAAGTATAAACATGGTTTTATTAGAGATCCAGTAGTTCTTTCGCCTAATCACACAGTCAAAGATGTTCTAAATGTGAAAGCTAAACATGGTTTTTCTGGTGTTCCCATTACAAATACAGGTAAAATCGGGGGTAAACTATTAGGTATTGTAACATCTAGAGATATTGATTTCTTGGAAAATACAGCAAATCAACAATATATAGAGTTAGAAACAATAATGACAAAATTAGAATATTTGATCACTGCAACTGCTGGTGTAACATTGCAAGAAGCAAATGTAATTCTTGAGAAATCGAAAAAAGGAAAGCTTCCAATTATAAACGAAAAGGGAGAATTAGTATCATTAATGGCAAGAACTGATTTGAAAAAAAATCGTACTTATCCAAATGCTAGTAAAGATGATAATAAGCAATTATTAGTTGGTGCTGCTATAGGAACACGTAATACTGATAAACAAAGGCTGCATCATCTTGCTGTAGCTGGTGTTGATGTTATTGTTTTGGATTCATCTCAAGGCAATTCTAAATATCAGATTGATATGATTAAATACATTAAATCAGAATATCCAGAATTGCAGATAATCGCAGGAAATGTTGTAACATCTATGCAAGCTAAAAATCTTATAGAAGCTGGAGCTGATGCTTTACGAGTTGGGATGGGTTGTGGTTCTATCTGTATTACACAAGAAGTTATGGCTGTGGGAAGACCTCAAGCAACTGCTGTATATAAAGTTGCAGAATATGCAAGAAAATTTGGTGTACCTGTAATAGCCGATGGTGGTATCCAATCTATTGGTCACATTATTAAAGGCTTAAGTTTAGGTGCTAGTACAGTTATGATGGGATCTTTATTAGCTGGTACCTCAGAGGCACCAGGTGAATATTTTTTTAGTGATGGTGTACGTTTAAAGAAATATAGAGGTATGGGTTCCTTAGAAGCCATGAATAGAAAAGATGCACAAGGTTCGGCAATGAATAGATATTTTCATAATGAGGTAGACAAGTTAAAAGTAGCTCAAGGTGTTAGTGGTTCAATAGTTGACAAAGGAAGTGTTTTAAAGTTCTTACCTTATCTACTGTGTGGCATTAAACATGGGTGTCAAGATATTGGAGCAAAATCTATTTCTACCTTAAGATCTATGATGTACAGTGGAGAATTAAAATTTGAAAAAAGGACACATTCTGCTCAGCAAGAAGGAAATGTTCATAGTCTTTTTTCATACGAAAAGAGACTTTTTTAAGTAAGCAAATGTTAAATGAGCGCCTTACAAAAAGAAAAGTACCTGCATTTAATTGCATATAACTTGTCAATTTTAATAAATTTTGTCTTAGATTACATGAAATCATATATTTGCTTACAGATAAACATGTAACTATATAAAACTGTTTTATCAGAAGGATTAGAATTATTTGTTTTGTAATAGACAAGTAAATTTTATTTCATGATCATTTTATTCTTAACGAAATTAATTTTAAAAATGGATTATTTTATAACATATTCACAAGATTAATATCAGAAATTTAAGTATGTATGTACTTACATGTATAAGAAATATTGATTGATTATAGCAAAAAAAGAATTTTATTGAAAATTAATTTTAAGACATCCTATAAATGTACCAATTTATATGAAAAAGAATTTTTGTCATATTTCTACAATAATTCGATTTATTACTACATGTATAAGCATGTATATCATTCATTAAGTAGATTAATCAGTTTAATTGATATTATAGCTATGACTGAATCATTAAACAAGTTATAATTGTATATTGTAATATTTTCTTCTTGCTGCATTCACTGTACCTGATTTATGTCATTAAACAGTACATTTTTTTAAATTTTCATGAAATTACATTCAAATTGCGATAAAGAAATCACGAAAATGTTTAAAAAAAATACTCTTAAAAGTCTATAATGCAGCAAGAAAAAGATTAATCTATACACATTCATAAATTAAATGCCAAATTATGGGAACATTATTGGAAAAAAATTTAATCAGTTTGATTATTTATAAACTGATTATTCATTCCTATTGTAACGTGATAGAAAAAAAATAATTTACTAAATTCCAATGTTATTTTATCATGTATTTTAATGTAATTTATCAAAATATATTTTTATGATTCTAATTTAATACAAATTATCTTTGAAGATAAAAAATTTAGGTCCAAATATTTAAGCTAAATCGATTAATTTTGTAATCTTACAAGTGTTGTTATAACAAAATTGTATATTTGAAATAAAGCCCTAATTGAAGTTAAAAATATTTTGTGTATATCATTGATTATTCCATGTTAATGTTTGCATTCAATAAAATAGATAATCAAACGTGTGTCACTTATAATATAATTTTAACATTTTAATTAAAACGATATTTCTTTGTTGAAAATATTAAAACATTAAAAACTTTGTTTTTAGTTGGAAAAAAAAGAGAAAAGATATATGGATCACACGAAATCGTAACGGGAAAAATTGTATGCCTGCATCAGCTCTAATGTGCGTTTTACGAACATAACCTGAAAGTTATTTTATAATCAGTAGAAAAATAGAAGATTGAAGAAGTGTGGAAAATCTAAAATAATGGTTTTGTGTAACGTGAAATGTTTAGAAAGAATTTCAAATTACTTAGATATTTCTCCCTTACCAATGAAAATCAACGAAAATGTAAATAATTAATTTCTTATGAAAATAAATTATTTTTTTTTTTTAACAGTATTAATATATGTTTTTATATCATTTTATAGGAGCTTGTTACCGAAGGATTTAGTACTATGATACAACATTTAGTTGAAATTTCAAAATATCCTGATATACTTGGAACTGATAATGAAATGAAAGCATTATCCCGTCAGTGGTTGGAATATGCAGTTGTTTGTGTTAATTTTGCTGATATTTCCACTATTGTGAAAAGAGTTTTGCAAGTAATAGAACTATTTATCTGACTATTAAAAACACAGAGATTAAACTAATTTAACTGAATTATATGGAATTCATTTCAAAAATATATGTAAATTAGAAACTTAAATTTTTACAGGAATTAAATTCTGCACTAATGTGTAACACGTACTTAACTGGTTCAAAGAAAACCATAGCTGATATCACATTATATTATATTTTATATTCAATAATGGTAAGAAGAATGAAGTATAAGTGGGACATAGGAATCCTTACTAGATTGTATGGATCAATCTAATCTCTTTGGCCTATTTTTTTGTTATAGCGAGAATTAACGCTTCCAGAAAAGGCTCAATATGTGAATGTGTCAAGATGGTTTGATAATATGCAACAAGAGGAAAAATTAAGACAAGAATTAGATTTAATTTCTTTTGATATGTTACATTTATTTCAATGAATAAAAAATACAATAATAGTAGTATAGATGTTACTTATTATTGTTAAAATAGCTTAAGATAAAGTAACAAACAGAACATTTACTTATTGAATTATAAAAGTAGAAATAGCAAAATTAAAAAAATATAAAATTTAATATTCATTGCACTTTTGTATCAACTTAAGTTTTGAAATCCTTTTATAATAAACGAGATACAAAATAAATCTATGCACTCAATACATCTTTTTATTTTCTAGAAAAAGTTTGAAAGGTTCAGTGGTAACTGATATATTCTTATTATTTTAATGTCGTTTCCAACGTTATCGATTCAGCACAGCATAAAATGGTTAGAATTGAAATTAATTTTAACTTAAATATACTTGAATATATTTAGCTTTGCATAGATTTTTATAAAATTTCTAGAAAAAATGTACTAATTACCCACATGTTTGATTTGTCATAAGATACTTTTAATTTGATTTATATAAGCTTATCAACAATTGATACGATAGGTATAGGATCAGTCGATAATTTTCAAATGGCGTGATTGTCAATAGTTTTGAGAACAGTCGAGAGATGATGCTATATAGCCACTTTATGCCGTAAAGAATCAAAGATGTCCGTCACGTATGATTTCTGTCCAAGATTCGTGCAGTCCTTGGGTTGACGCGACTAGGGTAGAGATTTTTCTTTCGTTATGAGAAATGTATGAGTGGATTTTACGATTGTCTGTGCGCGCGTTCACGACAGAAAATGCGGAATTTTCACGGCCACCGCATCTTGTAACGCGTGCGCATTCAGTATATTCGCGCATCGAAAAATTATAGTCGTCGTCTAATAGTTTCGGCCTAATCGCTTCAATTTTTCGTTGATTTCTCAGTAAAATTCTGCCGCTTTCACTTCCTACAATATTATACAATATTCAACATCGAGATGTCTGACGATACGAGTGTACGCGTTGCCGTACGGTAAGTTCAATGTTGTATTGAAACGATTCATTAAAATGTTTGTTTGAAAGATGGTTTACTATCGACTAGACTATATTGACGCAAACTAACAAAACGACTTATTCAGTGACAGCTTATAATATTGATAATATTCAATTAATAATAATTTTAGGATTCGCGCGAAATATTATTCGAATTGAAAGTGCAAAAACTTCGTTTTTTAATAACCACTATAATTTTTCAGTACTCAGATTTGCATATGTCGTAATTATGCTTTTCCTGGTTTAGTTTATTCAATTTTATATTTTGTGTTTAAACCGCAATTTCAGATCTAGTAAGTTTGATAATTAAAATTGCGAAATGCATGAGTTCATGTTACACTTTCACGATTTTAGAAAATTTTACGATATAGACCGTTTCGCGTTCTAAAATGGTAACAGATTTCTCTAAATGTTTTTAATAAAACAATTACACGAACTAATTTTTAACATTTATGTTTATTTATTTTTGTAGTTATTTACTAATTTTCTTTTTAAATTAATTTATAAAACTTATGTTTCATTAGATAACATAATAAAATGTAAGAATAATTTTGTTTCTTCTGTTCTACAATATTTTATATTGATCATATATTTTTTGTTCATATTTTCAAATTTCACATCTTTCTTTGATATCTCGATTAAGTTATTTTATAATTAAGATTCCATCAGTATTTTTTTTTCTACGCAGTACTGAATTGCAAACTTTAATCACATAATATGTCCTTTTAAAGAATTAGATGTGTAGGTTTTATTACCGGTTGTATAACGAATATACACCTCGATCTCCGATGAATGAATTTTTCTTCTCCCACCATGTTGTCTTCGTATTTGCTTAACTTATTACGTTTTAATCTATTTTTATTTATTATTACAATTTTTATCCGTCTATTTCGTACTCAAGTACGAAAATATTTTTTTTTGTTATATTTTTCGTGTGTACCCTTCTGCCTCTGTTGCGCGATGTTCTTATGAATGATATATAGTAACAGTTGATGCACATGTTATTCTATGCAATTATATTCAAATACGAACACATTGGTTAAGCGAAATTGATAAAAAATAACAGTCAAATCTAATTTTTTTTTACTTATATTAGTAATATAATATCTAATTTTTTAAGTACCTCTTATTATTAAATAGTAAAAATTTACAATTTATTATCACTAATTACAGAATAAGGCCTCAAGTAGCACGTGAAGTAATTGATATGTGTAGAATTTGTACACAAGTACCTCCAGGAGAACCCCAAGTCTTTCTTGGACCAGACAAGGCCTTTACATATGATTATGTTTTTGATACTGGTATTGGACAAAGCACAATTTATGACACTTGCGTTGCACATTTAGTGGAAGGTGCATTAGATGGATATAATGCAACTGTTCTTGCATATGGTCAAACTGGCTCTGGGAAAACATATACTATGGGTACTGGATTTGATGTAGAAGTTGGTGAATGTGTAATTGGAATTATTCCAAGAGCTATTAGACATCTATTTAATGGTATTTTAGAGAAACAGCAACAAGCTAGAGAACGTGCACAAATGCCTCCTGAATTTAAGGTGTGTATATTTTTTAACAAAATAAAAATTTAGTAAAAAAGAAATCTCTTATCATATTCCTTATCCTATTTTATATTTTATTACCCTATTACAATGAAATTTAATTTCTTGTTTTGTTTATATGTTGCAATAGGTTACTGCACAATTTTTAGAACTATATAATGAAGATTTGAAAGATTTATTAGGACCTGGAGGACCTAGAGGGGGTGCTCGTATTCATGAAGATCCCTCAGGCAATATTCATTTAGCTGGAGTGGAACCTCAAATTGTTACTAGTCCAGAGGAAGCATTAGAATATCTAAGATTAGGAGCATTGTCACGTACAACTGGATCCACTCAAATGAATACTCAGTCATCGAGATCACATGCAATATTTACACTATATATAAAGCAGCAGCGATACATAAAAGTTGAAGATCCAGATGCTGATGTTGATACAAGTGGTTCTGAACCTGCCAGTGAATTTGAAACTTTAACTGCAAAATTTCATTTTGTAGATTTAGCTGGTTCAGAAAGACTGAAAAGAACTGGTGCTACAGGAGATAGAGCAAAGGAAGGGATATCTATAAATTGTGGATTGGTAATGTGTTCAAAATTCTGTAAGAGAACTGCACAATACTGTAATTATCATTAGAACAATTATTTTTTGCATTATAGTTGGCTCTAGGTAATGTAATTTCTGCACTTGGTGATAAAACAAAAAGAGCTTTACATGTACCATATAGAGATTCAAAATTGACTAGATTGCTTCAAGATTCATTAGGAGGTAATAGATTATTAAATGTAGACTAAATATTTATAGTATTTAAATAATTATAAGGTAAATAGTTTTATGCTAATTGCATTAACATGTTAATAAAGTTATATGTAATGGTTGCAGGTAATAGTCAAACTGTTATGATAGCTTGCGTATCACCAAGTGATAGAGATTTTATGGAAACTTTAAGTACTCTAAAATATGCAAACAGAGCAAGAAATATAAAGAATAAAGTTACAATTAATCAGGATAAGAGTTCACGAACAATTGCTTCTCTTAGAAGAGAAATTCAACAACTTCAGTTAGAATTAATGGAATATAGACAAGGTAAAAACATAATATGTGAAAAATTAACTATAAAAACCAGACTTCAATTTGCTATTTATCTTTGTTTAGGTAAAAGAGTTGTCGGTGAAGATGGTATAAATGATGCTTGGCATGAAAATCAAATGTTGAATAGTGAATTACAAAGTCTTCGTACTAGAGTAAAAGCTCTTTCAGAAACAGTTGAAGCATTGACAGCAAAAAATGTTCTTCTGCAGGCAGAAAAAGCTGCTGGTCAGTGGATATCATCAACAGGTGAAAATCCTGAAGTAACAAGTTTAATACAAGGATATCTACAAGAAATAGAAGAGCTGAGAGCTCGTCTTTTGGAAGCAGAAGCTATGTATCAGCAGCTAAAGAAACGACAAATTCAGGTACATGTAAGAATTCATATAAAATAATATATGTATTATTGCTGTATATAGCACTAGATTTCTTAATGATATTTTATACAGGTTAATGCAGCCAACCCCTATGGTGATTCTGGATATATATTTCATAGTGATTCTACATCAGTATTAAATGATGCTAAGAAAGAAGTACAAAAAGAAATTGAAACGTTAACAGCACTAAAAGAGCAACATACACATATTACTAATATTGCTGGTAAAACGGGAGATGAAGCAGAAGGTGATGATACAGAAACAGGTCAAGATTCTGTAAGCGAAGACGATTCAGATGATGATTCCGATAGAAAAGGTATATTTTATATATATACACATGTACATACATGTGTATGTATTTCTCATTATATCATATATGTATTATTACATATTGTTTTTATTTGTTATTATTTTTTATGTATATTAATTACAGTATTTTAAGAAAACATGTTAGTAGTTATTGTGTGTAATGTTTTGTAGAAGAAGACGAAGAAGAAGAAGCTATGGGTCGTGAATTGGAAGCTTTAACATCAGATATTGATGTGAAACAACGATTAATACAAGAGCTTGAACTATCTCAACGACGTTTACAGACTATGAAACAACATTATGAAGATAAACTTGCTCAATTACAAGCTCGAATCAGAGACACTCAGGAAGAAAGAGATAAGGTATTGCACTCTTTACAACAGCAACCAACACCACCAACAGAAAAAGTAAAAAAATTACGTGATGAGTATGAGAAAAAGCTTTCTGCTATGCAAAAAGAAGTGCGACTTTTACAATCTGCAAAGAAAGAACATGCGAGATTACTTAAGAGTCAATCTCAAAATGAAAATAGATTAAGAGGACTTCGAAATGAATTAGCAGAAATGAAACGAGCAAAAGTAAAACTATTAAATAAGATGCGTGAAGAAGCGCAGAAACATAAAGAAAATGAATTGAGGCGTAATAGAGAAATAGCACAATTGCGTAAAGAGAGCAGGAAGAACGCAAATG